AGTGGGTGTGTAAAGTTACCACAATAATAGTATTATTATTTCTGATGTTCTAAACTCAAATCTTTATCAAGTGGTCTAAGCATTAGTATATGAGATCCAAATATAAAATTTGAATCAATACGTAACACTATATAAATTCTACTTGTAATAAGCAGAATGCACCTACAATAGTAGTGGGTGTGTAAAGTTACCACAATAATAGTATTATTATTTCTGATGTTCTAAACTCAAATCTTTATCAAGTGGTCTAAGCATTAGTATATGAGATCCAAATATAAAATTTGAAGGGTGTGGGTGTGGGTGTGGGTGTGGGTGTGGGTGTGGGTGTGGGTGTGGGTGTGGGTGTGGGTGTGACAAGCAGCCATGACACGTGTTTCGTCCGAGCAAAGGGACTCAACAGATGGCAAGTAAGTCTACATGATTTGTGGGAAAATCGCTAGATCTTATTTTCTTTGTTACTTTTTATCTGAAATGAATTTTAAATGTATAAGAAATGGTAAATTTGTGTGTATGGGTAGTAGATTTCGTTAAGAATTTTTTATTGTATTAAGTTTTTTTTTATTTACGTATATGAAATTGATTTTGTTGTTTTACATATGAATGTTTTTAGTTTGAGAAATGATTGGAAAGTTTTTTTTTTTATTTGAAGAAATAGCAGTTATTCTGTTTTGTTTTTGTTCGATGTTTAGCTTGTAGTGTTGTTTTAAGCGATTAGTTGTTTGTGTTGATGGTGTTGGCTTCGGTTGTTCGAGGTTGTCGGTGTTGATTTTTGCGTCTTCCTATAGTTGAAGATTGTACAATAGTTGTCTGTTTTATTGCGGGTTTGGTGAAAGGAACAAATATTTCTTACTTTGCTTTGTTTTGTTTTGAAGTAATTTTTTTTTGGGACGCTTGCGAATTAGTTCATGTGTTGCATTACGTCGATTACGATTACCTACGATCAGTTTGACGTCAGCGACATGTGTATCTTGGAAGATTTTGTCATATATGTGATGCATGTCTCGTTTCATTGAATGAAATCTTTTTTCGTGTGTGTAATGAATAATGAGCTTGGGATCGTTTTGTTTGTGCTGTTGATGTTGTTGATTTGTTGTTATGTTTTGATTTTGTAACATTTCGTCGGTTTGATCGTTGTCGACGTTGGCTGATGCTGCACTTGCTGCTACTTGTGACTGTCTACTTGTTGGTATGTCTAAGAATTTATTATGCATCATCAAAAATTGATTTTCATCGTCGATAAGACTGAGGAATGACGTTGAAGTTGTATATTCGTAAAAAAATGTTTTGAACTCGTTTTCGATAAATGTATACGGATAACTGAAATATAAGATATGAAAAAATGTATATATCGTTCGTTAATATTGGCTGTACTCACCCATTGTATAGTAATGCCAAATGAATATAGCGTCGTTCTGTGTTGAAACTTTGAAATGTTGATGAATATCTTGCAGCACGTGCGAGACTTGTTTGTATAATATTGACGAATACGTGTCGTGGATGATCAGAATTGAATGGCACAGCATAAGGCTCAGCTGCTGGTTTATGATATACAGATGTTGATAAAATGCCATTATTATTTGTAAGAACAACATCAAGAAATGGAAGACTTTTACCGATTTTATATTCTAATTTAATATTTGGATGCCATTTGTTTGCATCATCTAATAAATCTTGTAATGCTTTTTCTGATTTATTCCAGGTCATTAAAATATCATCGATGTATCTAAGATGAAAAAAAATGAATTAATAATTGAGTTTTTATTGTTCCTTTACTTACCGGCCATAAAATTCACCAGTCATATCTTGTCGACGAACAAGTTCTTTTTGCCATTTCCACATGAAAATATTTGCTAATGTTAATGTAAAGGATGAACCCATAGCACCACCAAGTACTTGTCGGTAAATTTTATTACCATAGACAAAAACATTTTCTTTGAGTACAATGGTAGCTAATTCTCGAATAGTTGCAAGATCAATGCCTTTAACTTTGGTATAACCATGAAATCGAAGAAATTCAACGAGAATATCAAGTGCTTCATCTTGTGGTAACATTGTATATAAATTACGAATATCAAATGTACAAAAAAGTGTTGTTGGTTTCAAGAGACCTTTTTTAATATATTTAAGAAGTTCTTTAATTAAAGAAGTTGCATCGATAATAGTTGTTGAAGCACATTTTTCATCAAATACAGGTCGTATGATTTTATCTAAAAATTGTGATATATTTCTTGTTGATGAATGAATTGTATTTTCAATTGGTCTAACTGGTATATCATCCTATAATTATATTTAAAAAAAAACGATTCTTTTAATAAATACTATATTACCTTATGAGTTTTTGGATTAAAATATAAATGTGATAGTTCAGAATTTTCTCGATCAGGCATCATTTCATTATATTGCCGTTGTAAAATAAGTCGTTTTGATCGTAATCGATTGAGTAATTGAATAACTTGATCTTGAATTTGATTGAATGGATTGACTGATATTTCAATAAAAGCATTTGTTTCTTGGAAAAATTTTTCAGCTTTCTTTTCAAATTCACTAGCTGAACCAATATAAAAATTATTACCCTTATCAGTAAGGCGAAGAATGAGATCATTTTTTTTAATTTTTTGTCGAATTGATGTAGTCTTTTGTGCTTGTTCGAGCACTTCAATTTGTTCTTTACATGATAATGGAGTAAAATAACATTGATTAAAATGATCGAATACTTCATTCGAATAGTCTGTTAAAACACGTGATTTCCATGGGATACTATGATGTTTAATAAGATGACTTTCAACTTTCTTCGTAATGTCTTTATGTTCATTTTTAATTTCACTTTTTTGTTGATCTACAGTACGAATGGCACTTTGATTTAAACGTATAAAAGATGGACCTAAAAGTAAAAAGTAATGAAAATTTCTCTAGAGAACAAAAAAATTTTTCTAACCAAGACAAAGATAATTCCATTCAGGTTCATTGAATGGATTTTCCAGTAAATCAAGATATGGTTCAGGAGAAACACGAATTGTATTCTTGGAGGATACTGAACGTTGACGATTTTGAAGTAATATGTGTCGATAAGATGTCAAATTATGCCGAATATCACTTTTTAATTTGTTTATTTGAGAAGTCATATATTCGTTGAAATGATTGAAAATGACATTGCCATTGACAGTTGTATCATTGAATAATCGTGATTGTAATTCAAACCATATAGATCGATATTGGTGATCATATTTTTGTAAATTAACTTCATACGCATAGAAAGCAATATTAAGCCATATACGTTTCGCTTCTTTAATAATTTTTATACGGTCATTATTGACTTGAATTGCAATTTTATTCTGAATTTTTGGTGTATAAATCATAGGTGAAGTAAAATTTTCCAATTCATTAAACTTTAGTGGTAAAAAATTACAAAGTATTCGCATATGTAGTACAAGATATTCTTCCCAAATTTTTCCTTGTTCGTTTCGTATAGACATTAATTGATTCAGATATTCATTCTTAAAAAAAATCGATAAAATTTTCTCTAATGTATGTGAAAGAATATAAACTTACTTGATCGAATGTTAAACGATATTGACTTATAGTTTCAAATAATTGTTGTTCATGAAGATCATCTTTGAATTTGGATAATTGTTCATTATTTCTTAATGATAGATAATGTCGTTCATTTTGAACAATTTTTTTCATGTGTGAATCGATTCGATCTAATGGTAATGTTGTTATTGAACATAATTGAGATTGTTCTCTTAGTTTCATTTGACATAGATTATGTTCATGTTCAATATCTTTGATATACTTGATAACATATTGCTGACATAGTTCAAAATCAGTAGTCTTTGCCATGTTATAGAGTTGATTCTATATTGTAATGTGAAGAATAATGATCGAAAAATGATTTCATAAAAAAAACAAAAACTTACTGGCCATATTTGATGTTCTATACCAATATTTACATAGGATTGCCATAATTGTTGATCAACTGTTAAACAATATTGTTCGTCCAATAATTCAAGTCGTGCAATGAGAAAATCTCGCGTAACTTTGTCCTTCAATGAATAGTTTAAAATTTTACTTATTCGTTTAAAAAATCTTGGTAATAATCGTTTTAAATACATGGGTCGTCTATATAAACAAAAAAAAATCTATAAACAAAATATAAGACGGAAACATGTCAACAAACCGATATTTCCTTTTGTTAGTATTGTTATCGTTTTGCATTGAAGAATTAGTTGTTGTTTTATTTTTTTCCTTTATTTTCTTCGATAATGGTTGACTAGTATTTGTAGATCGTACTAATGTTGAATTCAGTTTTAAATCTTGTGATGAAACATCTCTTTTACGTTTATTTGGATTTATTGTTGTCGGTTTCGAAGAATTATTAATATCAGTTGTTTGTTTGTTTGATTGTATTTTTTGCATATTCGTGTGTTTTGTATTATTATGATTTTGATTTTCCACTTGCTTTCGTTTCATAAGTAACTTTTCTATAATTTTTGGTTTCATACCTTTTACACGACATTTTCTTCGAAAACGTTGATCACGTCGATTACCATGACATTTTTTTCGTTGTACATTAGTAGGAACTTGTTGATCATTAGTAGAATTAATATTGTTCGAATTCATTTTAGAATCTTTTATTTTTTAATAGTCGTAAAATTCAAAATTTATCTAAAAGAAAAAAAAAATATGAGAAATAAAAAAGTTGCTACTAAACTAATTTCGAAAAACAAAAAAAGTATACGATTTTTTTATTTCAAAACTATTAGTTATGTTTAACACAGATTGATTTGACTTTAAATATGTATATACATCTTATACGATCACCTATTTTATTACAACGTTGTTCTATAAGATTGATCATAAGTGCCGATAGTTTTTCATTATCAGAAGAAGAATGTTGGTCATGCCACAGTTTTTTCATATTAGCATCGAATTTCTTCTTACATTCATCCATTTGACTTTTTGCTGACTTCATATAGAGGTTGAATATATCTAATCTTGATTGTACAGCAATTGTCTTGTATTGATTGAATAATTCTTGTCGAATATTTGAATCTTGAATCGAATTAATTAATTCTGATTGTGATAGAGATGAACATTCAAATGATTGACACGGTGAATTGTAATAATTAATTTGTTGTTGAAGTAAATCGAATTCTTGTTTTGTAAGTTCTTGTTCATATTTACTGGAACAAAGCTGTTTCATTATATTCTTCTAAAAAAAACATTTATGAAATGAGCAACAGTCGTATAATTTTTATTTATCTCTGCATACTTGATATACATTTGGATCATGGCGATAATATTCTAATTTTAATGCTTGAATATAATAATCATAATGGATAAGTTCAATTTTATGTTCAATTTCCATACGAAAAGAAGACATATTTTGCTGAATATATGTTTCAATCAATTGTTGAAGTTTTAATGTATAACCATAAAAACTATTTATTTTCTGATTCAATTCAGCTTGATATTGTTTTAATTGATTATCTAGTTCATGTAGTTTATTACTAATAAAATTCATATAAATTTCATTTTCATTTGTTGCATTCATTTTTATTGATTTTTGTGTTATTATTGTTTTAATTTCTTTGGGCCATATATGTAAATTTGTTAAACAATTCAATTGTTCTTTCGATTGAATAATCAATTGTCCCGTACCCGATTTTAAATAAGTGGTCCATAGAGAATTATAAATTTGAATGACCATAATCTTATAAATTAAAATGGATATTTGTCGTAATTCTTCTTTTGTTTTATTTGATGTTGCTAGGTTTGCCGTTGTTGAGATAATTTGATTTATAATTTGTTTGTAGGATTCATTTCGTTTTGATAAATAATCTGGAATTTGTTTGATTTCACCTACAATATCTTTCATTGCTGTTGGCTGTTGATTATTTGTTGTGATAGATAATTGAGTGAATTTTTGTGAAAAAACTTGTTCTTCTGATTTCTTAAATAGGTTAAAAACAAAAGAAATATTTCTTCTCGATTGATACAGTATTATTTACTTTGAAACTGTTTGACCTTCGGGTCGTGTTCTTATCCATATTACTTATAATTACAATCTGTTTCTTTTCATCTTCCTTTTTTATTGTAGCAATATTGTCAATGTCCATTTTATTTATGCATTCATTTTCGTCGATATTATTCACATGAAGACCAACGAATCTTTTATCGAATAGACTGAAATTTTCATGCTAAAATAAAAGCGACTCTTTTCTGTACAAAATCAATTTTCAAACAGTCGCTTACTTGTTGTATATAAACGGTTGGATGATTATTGATTTTCACATGGTGACCTTTGTTTTGTGTTGCCATTTTTTATACTTAGTTTTGACAATGTCGGATATGAAATAAGCTAAGCTATTATAAGTATCTAAAAGTGAAGAGAAAAAACATAACAAATAATACTATGATATGATCGATATGATCGATATGATGATAATGATAAATGTATAACTAATGTATCAAGAAAAAAAAAACAAGAAACAAGAACAAGAACAAAAACAAAGTTCTTAAGTAGCATTACGCTGATGTTATTGTTGCGAATGTTCCAAGTGTTTTAATTGTTCCATTAGTTTTTGCTGTTCAAATTGTTCTGAATCTTCTAATTTTCTAACACTTTCTTGCTGTTGTTCTTCTCTGTCTAATTGTTTCACATGTTCGATCTGTTTCAATTGCTCATTGTGTTCCTCTTCTAACTGTTGCATTTCAAGATCTTCCCATTCTAAGAAATGTTCCAGTTGTGCTTGCTGTTGTTCTTCATACATATCCATCCATTTCCAATAGTTCATTCGAGATAATTTATAAATGTATTGTCTCTCTTGCTTTCGTTGCATTTCTTGTTGTTCTAATTCTTTTCGTTTTTGTTGTTGTTGTTGTCGCCATAGTACGTATGGATCCTTTTGTATATTTGTATTTTTAGACAAATCGGTAGCCGGAAGTGATGCACTTGA